CTAATCCAGCGAGTTGGTGTGTCGTGGAGAGTGTGTACACTCCACCTGCGGTTACTTGTACTACTTGTACTTGATACGCCTGCGATCATGCTTGATTTAGCCGGCCTCGATGATGTCCCAAACTGTACCTCTCCACGCGTTACGATCCGCGGCAGCAGATCTAGACAGCTCAACCCATTCCCTTCGCCAACGACGGAGACCGAATACCGAAGGTCCAAGAACCACCTCCATGTCTTGACGGACAGTGTCGAGCCAGGTTTTGAACTGACCCCCTCTTCGACGCCTCCAATGGGGCAGCGGTGCCGGATCGAGGGCAGTAACACTGAGCTCCTGAGGTGGACGACGAAGAACATGCCCGAACCACCTCAGTCGTCTTTCTTGGATGGCCTGATTTATCGTCGCGATGTTGTCGCAGCGAGCGCGGACTATCTCATTTGAGACGAAGTCGGTTAACTTCACTCGAAGGATGATCCTCAGGCAGTGGTGGTCAAATACCTCCAGTTTTCGGTCATCCTCCACGCGCAAAGCCCAGCATTCACAACCGTAGAGAAGGACAGACCGGACAGATGCACGGTACACGCGAATCTTAGTGACGATGGAGAGGTCACGTCGGTTCCACAGGCATTTCTGAAGGCTTGAAAAAACCCAGCGGGCAGCATCGGTTCGGAAGACAATGTCGCCCTTACTCTGTCCATTAGGCAGCAGCCGCGCCTCGAGGTATTTAAAACTGTCCACTTCTTCAAGTTGACAGCCATCAATCCCCAGGGTGCCTTCTCCTTGTCAGGGATGCAGCTTGAGAATACTTTGGTCTTCCCTGCGTTTATGGACAAACCGACTGATTTAGCGACCTCGTTCACCCGTGACACCATAGACTGCAGATCACCAAAACTTGAAGCAAGTAAGGCGATATCATCGGCATAGTCGAGATCACTCAGTCGATGTCCGGGTGCAAATTCAACACCGTCACTGTCGCGTAGGGCCCTCCCGAGGATCCAGTCAATAGCGTAGTTGAACAGTATGGGTGACAGTATACAACCCTGTCGGACGCCAGACCGAATACCGAACGGTTGGGAAAGATTTTTACGGACCAGGACTCTCGCAGTAACGGAACGATAGTAGGCCTTGATCATGGCGAGGACTTTTGCCGGTACACCATCTAGCGCCATTATCCGCCACAGGGACTCACGGTGAACGGAATCGAACGCGGCGGCAAAGTCAACGAAGCAGACGGCTGTCGGTTGTTGGTAGCTATGGCGAAATTCGAGAATGCGCCTCAGTGTGAATATCTGATCTGCGCATCCACGTCCAGCACGAAATCCGGCTTGGTTGGGCCTCGTCCTTGAGTCACGCACAGCCTGGAATCGCCTGAGTAGCACAATAGCGAAGATCTTCGTAGCAATGTCGATGAGACTTATGCCACGGTAGTTCTCGCATCTCGTCTTATCTCCCTTCTTGAGGATAGGTACAAGGATGCCTAAGCCCCAGTCATCGGGAACAACCTCGTCTCTCCACGCGCGTTCAATCACCTCATGGAGCCAGGGCGTCAGAGTGTCGACACAAGACTTAAAGGTTTCAGCGGGTATACCGTCCTCTCCGGGTGCCTTATTGTTGCGCAACTTTCGTATGGCATCGGCGACTTCTTCCTCGGAGGGGGGATCGGATGGCACTGCATAGGTAGGAGAGGGAAGAAACTCCGCTGAGGAGGAGAACAAGGACGATGTAGGTTGGGTTACACCAAGCATTGGTTTACACGCCCTTCCAGACCTGCCTGTGCCCTCTTTCCCTTTTTAATCCAGGGAGTGGCTAAGTTAGCCATGTTAACTAAAACTGTCTTAGTTAGCCAACCACATTGTATCAGTCAAGTGGGGCCGCCGGACCGAACCTCGGCCAGCAGTTTTTATATGACGGACCACGAATAATCAATCCTTGATGTCTACCCAGGAGTCTGAAGCTCCAGGCACGATGGAACCGAAAGAAATTGTCTGGGATGGCCAGGAACTGAGGGTTATCCGACAGTTTCTCATCACAACCGAGCACTTCGGAGAAGCAACAGCAGCCGATTCACTGCTACTGCAACTCAAGAAATTTATGCTGCCTTGTTAGCTCAACGATAACACTGTTCAATTATTACTGAAGGCTTTCATAAATTGACCGGACCATCTGCACATCATGCAAGACAGTCGAGTTACTGGGACGGCTAGTTATAAAACGCAGACATTGAGGGACCTGTGTGCAGGATATTGCGCGAATGAAATACCCATCCATTTAGTACTTTGTCAGCCTGAAATAGACAAACACTCCCTAAGACTTCGGCCGGTGCAGGCAGTTTTGCGAAGAATCTTCCGCCTCCCCCCAAAAATCCCACCAATGTTCTGACTGGAAGCCACGAAAACCCGGGGCCGGAGAAGGAGAATTCACGGCGACTACGGTGACCTATTCTACATCGTTGTAGGGGCGGAATTGGGTGGGCTAGTAAAGTCTGCCGTTCCAACAGCGAAAAACACGAGGATGTGGTTCCTACATAGCGGCTCTCATCACGAATTTCGACAACTGTCGGTGTCCAATTCGTCTCATCTATATTCCATCATAATTGGCAGAAAAGGGGAATCAAAAGTCTGATGTCATCATCCTTCCACGCTTAATCAGCCTACCAGTCCGATAGCTTCTCTGGCATATTTAAAATGACAGCTAAGGAGATGCCGAAATTAGGCGTCAAGATGGGATGCTTGAACGCGTTCCTATTGGCTCGCCAAGCGACATGCAAAACAGAGTCAAGTTGGTGATGAGGTCAATACTAGGACCACGCTTGCACAAAACAGTGTCTGCTTTTCAATCAGACTCTCCTGATAAATTGCGTGTTCTCGGGTAGGAGACTTCTTGACGGCGATTTCGAGCTGACTACTAAAGCAGAGATGCACTTCTAGTCGCCATGGGACTGCTTTTGGGAGCTCTGCGTTGAGCCTCCCGGCACAATGAAGCAAGCGCACTTTCAACACTGTTTCCGATAGCAACTGCCAGGACAATGAACCCCTGGCTTAAATGGCAGTGATAGACTTAATAGCGGTCAATAATCAAAGGCTGCGGGATCGAGACTCGGGTGCTGCATGCCTGTGTCCGAGTATGGTTAGCTGATGACGGTTAATGTGCCAGAAACGGCCATCCGAGTCTTCACTGCATTTGTCGGTATCTTTCATTTGCATGTCTTGTCAGCGGCTGTTCGATTGCCTGCGGTGCGCTCGATCGAGTCCCGTAGCATATCCGAACGAGCACATTCGGTAGCCCATTGGCGTAAATTTTCGAGACCAGATCTCCACGTCGTCGTCGTCGTCGTCGTCGTCGTCGTCGTCGTCGTCGTCGTCGTCGTCGTCAGACTTACAAAAGCATTTGACTATCTAACCGGACTTAACAAACGATTCTGCGATTGACCGACGCCTGCGTCAGTGCGCGTAAATCGAATTTCGTCATTTCATCGACATAAACTGCGTTCGCTTGCACTTTTTCTTGAGCAGCTGACTTATGCCATCTAAAGCGATGTGTTGGTTGATGCATGCTCCATCTGAGTTCATTGCTTTCCTCATTGGGCAGGCGCCAATAATGCGAGTGCTTTCCCGCGCAAATTTTCGCCCAGTGTCCAGTGTGTGAATAGCCACCTGGAAAGACGATCTCATCTCTTCCCGATAACTGGTGTTCGCGTGTATGAGTTGAGACAGATTTCCCAGTTTGGCCACAATAAGCGCATGGGATTTTGCAACCAACGCCTTTTCTATCGAGGTACCCAAGCTGTGGGCCCAAGATAGTAGCGGGTCGGTGTGATACTTGTGTCTGACGTTTTTTTTCAGTTGTCATCCGACAAACTTTGGTACATCTTCCGTGTACGGTAGAGTTTACCAAGTGATTGCTTTTGATGCCTGAGTGACTGTAACTTTATGCTTTGTCGTTCAAATTCAGGGGAGAAGCCAATTTGGGAAAATACTTCGGTAACGGTAGGGTGTGGTACCCAACGTAGCTGGCAACTCCAACATGTGCACTAAAATTCCGTGTGACTGGATGCGCTACTTATTGTTCACCGCTCCTACTAGTTGAAATTTAAGTAATCACGCTCACTTTCTTTGCCATATGACATCATACAACAACACTCTCATGCATTCCCTGTCCTGCTTGTTGTTTCACTCGTCAAACCCCTCTACCACCATTCAACGTTTGACGTGGTCCACAGGGTACCTCGAGTTAATTGGGGTTCTACACTCTACCGTTGTCGGTATAGCATTTCTGCTTAAGAACTCTTCTCATCAGAGCCGTGTGTTGTGGCTGGATTTAGCGGGCTGTATACACAACTCCTTTTGTGAGAGATTACATTTTTACCCTCGAAGTGTAGGATAACCTCTGAATATGCTTCTTTGAGGTATAGTGATTTGTGAGGTGGGCCATCAATTTTTTCTGCAAGTGGACATCCAGAAATGGGGTTATCCATTAGCCTTCGTTTTTGAAAATGAGCTCGATTCCTGGGAGTTTACAGTCAAAGTTCGTATGAAACAGATCTAACGGAGTTTTATTGACAATGACAAATGAATCATATACATAGCGCAGCCACTGTAGTAAGGACTGTGGATTCTAGTTCCCGAATTATGGCTTCTGCTAGAATGCCTGATATAAGCAAGCCCAAGAAAACACCTTTCAGTTGCCAATAGCACTGTTTGGCGGAGGGAAAGTTTATTTCTAGGCAAATATCTAGTAGTTGGAGCAAAATTTCGCTAAGCACATCAGTGATGTAGGCCTGAAGGTGCTCCGAGGTGCAGCGTCTCGCCCGATTAAGCAGAATCAACATAGAGAGGGAGATTACATCGAAGGGCACTATTATCCCGTTAGTCGCAAACGCGACGATTTTTGCTTTGTGTAAAACTCATTTTCCTCTTCAAAAGAGTTCCCGCAGTTCTTTGTATGTAGGCGTAGTTGGTGAAATAGCCACTTAAAAATCCGGGAGTTTGTTGCTCAATCAAGAAAACTACCGGTCATGCTATTACATCCGTTTTTTGAACTATATGAAGTTCATATATCTCATAAATTGTGGGTTTACCCTGTTTAAGGATTTGGAAAGAACTCCTGGGATTGGTTCCTTTCCTGTAAGGTGCTTCAACGTTTTCCCTATGCATGAGTTTTGTAACTTTGGCGAGTCGGCGTTTAGAGACTTGCATATTGATTCGTCTTTCAATGGGGGCATTATCCGCTCTATGTGGTCGGTCTTGTTCAAAATGGCCGTGAAGCCTCGGCTGCAGCAACATGGTTCCGTTCTTCAAGGCTTGCACAGCGTTTTTGTGAGCTACATACTGTCCCTCCTCTGTGAGACTGGCTGAACTTATGACAGATTTGAGCTTGTCAAGGATGATCAAATAATTCGAACCTAACGGACTGCACCTTATACCTTTACTCAGCACGTTCTGCTCGGCTGTTGTTGGGAATGCTGGAGAGGATACGATCACAACTTTATTTGACCATGTAGATTAATCGTAACTTTATTCCGGAAATGATAGTTCATTTTGGGCCTAAAGTGCTCCACTTCATCAATCATTCTAACGCTGGGAAATGATCGATAGTCTTGTATGGGGTTTCATATGACCGGATAGGAAGTCGGTTGCGTGTGCGTTAGCCATGAGCGATTTAAGTATCTGTTGGCCACAACAGACGACAAGGTGATGGCCTTCGGTTTACTATGTTGCAGGCTACACTCACACAACCATCGTCATCACATACAGCACGACCAGGACAAAACGGTCACGTGGAGTTTAAAAATACCGAGCAAACACGGTCCGTCGACTAATTCACCCGAAAAGGGAGCCAGACTCAACCGACTCCCCTTGACGTGACGACACACACCGCTGGAGACCGCCAAGATTCACTAACAACAGCCAAAGGGTCAAGACAACGAAAGAAGGAAAAAATCGACCCGTCGAACGCCAACTAATTCGGCCACTTACTTTACATTCTGGTCGACTTTTTGCACAGAACGCTTTGATAATGGAGAGCCGACCAAGCCCTCCGAAACGTCAGTCATTCGACTCCTCAGATACAGTGAGGCCTATGCGTTTCTCGGACTACCGACTCGGATCTCTTGCGTTTGATAACATGACCGGTTATGTCGGGGTTTCCAAGCACTTGTTTGTCAGTCAATGTACAGTGTGTACAAAAGTGATCGATCAAGCCCGTGTTCGATGAGGAAACGCGTTTGGACTGGGAGAAGGTTTTAAGTGAGTTTATGCCTCTACGGTATTGGTTTCACTCCCCTGCTGTCTACCCTCTGGCAATACGATGAGAAAGCCAAACTGTAAATCCAATTATACTCACACGCTAACTATAATCTTCCTTTCTCCCCACCCCCTAACCGGGTCTGCTGAACGAAAGATATCAAATCTTCCCTCGGAGCAAAGATGCTAGACCTCACTTCCACACTCCTTTCAGGAATTTTCCCCCACATACATTCGCACGCAATAAATGCACTCTTTGTGCTGCTCGCTGATTACGGTTGTGCTTTGGTATATTCAAATAGACAAAACCCACCTGCAAAATGTGGTGGGAAAACCTCAGACTTTGGGTGTAGAGGCCTTTTCTGTCAACAGGCAATTTCCCCCAAACCCGCACAGACGATTAGGTCCCAGGTATGACAAAGAAAATGCTGTTTACCCTGTGTTTGTACGTGCGTGCTTGTCGATGTGTGTGTGTTTTTGTGTGTGTGAACTGTCTGCGCGGA